CTAGGCTGGATGGGGCTTTGGGCAACCTGGGCTAGTGGAGGGTGTCCCTGCCCATGGCAGGGGGTTGGACTGGATGGGCTGTGAAGGTCCTTTCCAATCCAAACCCGTCTGTGATCTCATGACTGGATCAGGAGATTGGAGGGCGGTGGGGGTCAGCAAGAATGGGGACGTGACTGCTGAGGCTGCCTACCTGCCTGTGCTCCGTGAGCCCACTGCAGCTCCCTCTGAGCCCCCCAAACCCTTCCCTGCCTGTGCCAGCCCCATGCCAAGCTCAGAGATGGACCTAAGCTTCAGCTCTCGCTGCCTGGCACAGGGCGCAGGACTACCCTGCCACTGACGCTGCACATCTCCCCGGGCAGGTGGATAAAGTTCGAGGAGATGGTGGAGGATGGCGGGGAGCGCTGGAGCATGCCCCACGTCCCAGTCCTCCGCTTGCACAGCCTCTTCCAGCTGAGGACGTGCCTGCAGAAAGGAACGATGCTCCTGGATCTGGATGCCCCCAGTTTCAAGGAAATAATCGGTACGTGGGGAATGTAAAGGTCACTTCCTGGGATGGGCTGATCACCAGAGAGGGACCAGGACACCAGTAGGTCCCTGTATAAAAGCACGGATACGTGATAGGGTACCTGGGGTGGCTGGCTGCTGCTCCAGCAAAGTGGGCTTTTCCCTGGGCAGCCCCCACTGGGCAGGGAACCAGTGGGACTCAGGACTGTCCCCACCCTTGTTGCAGACAACGCGCTTTCTGGGCAGCTTGAGGAAGCAGAGCTGCAGCCTGAGCTGAAGGAGCGTCTGGCAGCCCTCCTGCTCCAACAGCCACGGCACCAGCCCACCAAATCCCTGCTGCAGCGCCTCGCTGAGCTCAGCCTCTCTCCCTGCCAAGGTAGGCACAGTGCCTGGCCATGGGTGGTGACATGGCCATCCCACCGGGCATCCCTCTGCTGCCACCAGCCTGGAGCAATACCTGTGCTGGCCATTTGCTTGCACGTGCATTTTGCTGTTTGCTCTCTTTCTTTGCAGGGAAGGCTGAGCCCAGAGCCCAGCTCTCCGAAACGCCTCTTAAGGAGCAGGTAAGGCAGGATGGAGCTGGGCTGAGAGCAGCTGCTGCATCCTGAGTGTCCAGCTGCTGCATCCCTTTCCTTTCAGCTGAGAAACCGATTTAAGAAGAAGGTCCCACCAGGGGCTGAAGCAGCCCATGTTGCTGTCGGTGAAGTTGAATTCCTGGAGAAGCCTTTCACCGCCTTCATCCGCCTCAGGCGAGGAGTGGCCCTTGGCTCGCTGGCTGAAGTCGCTCTCCCCAGCAGGTAAGTGGTGGCCCTACACCCCCCTTCGTCCCTGTATCCCCGCTCCCTCACACACAGGACAGGGCTTTGCTCAGCAAAAGCGAAGGGTACGGCACCCAACGCCACGTGCAGTCCCAGAACCCTGGCTCACTGCTTCCCCTCCTGCTTTTCCCAGCTCCTTAGGAACATCCCAGGAAAGGCTGATAGTGGAGCATCTGTTGGGCATCCTGGGGTGGACATCCCCTGGGTTATCCTCACCTGGGCTCTACATTCGCCCTCCTCCTTAGGAGGGTCTGGATGCTCTGCACTTACTGCCTGGGAGTGTGGGGGCTCGTGGCTGGGAAGGGATGCAGGTTTGCAGGAGCCTCTTGCCTGCCTGCTGCTCTCCTGAGCGGTGGGGTGGGTCTTGTGGCACTGTTGGTGTAGGGGGAAAGGAGCAGGGCAGGAGGTGTTTCTCTGTGGTTGAGGAACAAATAATTTGAAACTGTAAGGGGAAATGGTCAGTGCGCCCCTTGTACTGGGGACTTCCTTAGGGAGCGTGTGGAGGAGGCAGGCGGGGATCAGGAGGGACATTGCCACCTCCTGGTCACTCTGCCCAGAGCACCCATCCTCCGGGAGCAGGGTGGAGCAGGACATCAATCCACCTCCTGCTCTCTCCTTGGTGGGAGATGGGTGGCATGTCCCCAGGGAGCCCCCGCAGGTCTCGAGGGGCTCACGACCAACCCCTTGCCCTGTATTTTCCTGCCCCAAACAGGAGAGGAAGGAGAGCTTGTCACTACACATCCCTTTGCCCATGGTGCCGTCCCCTTTGCCTGCCACCTGGGCTGTCTTGTGGGTGCAGCCACTGTCTCGGGGCTATCTCCCACCCAGGTCCATCTCTAGGATCTTAAGGTTTTCCCATTGCCTTGATGAAGATGTCTGGGTGAAAGCAATCCCAGGTGGCCACCATCATCTCCCAACCCCCCCGAGCAGGCCCTGGGAGGCCTCCAGCACTGATGCCCCACATCAGGGCTGCAGCAGGTCCTGTCAAGCCACCTTCAGCCCCGCTTATGCTGTCAGAGGAGTTTCCCTGCCCTCCCTCTGGAGGTTTGCTTGGGGTACCATCACTGGAACTGTTCCGCATCCTCGGTGTACCAGGACTGTAACCGTTTGTGCCAGTTGTGGAAAGGAGTGAAGGGCTTGGCTAAATATCTGGACGGCCTGTCCCTCTGGAGACATTATTTTGCAGCACCCTCTGAGGTGTGGGATTTTAGCCATATTCAAGGACTCTGAGCCCTCTTTCCAATCTCCTCCTGTGTCCCAATAGTCCTATTAAACCTGCTGGCAAGCTCTCCTTCCTGATGCTGATGGTCCTGCATCATGCCTGCAAGCAAGATTCCCATAAGCATGACCCCACAGACAGCCCCAGTCAAGACCTCAGCCCCACAGACATCCCCAGCTGAGGCTGTCTCCTTCTCTTCCCCAAAGACCTGTGTGTGTGTGTCCCCAGCCCCTGCCTGGACTTCTGCAGACCCCGTGATCCAGCTGTGGTCCTGGTGTCTCATGGTCTCCCGTGGGGTTTCCTTGCAGCGGGCAGCAGACAACATGTGTCTTGTCTTCTGCCCCTGACCCCCCCCACTTAGGGTGGCCACCCCTTAGGGTGGCAGCAGCCCCCCATGCCTGCTCGGCCACTATCCCCAGCATCCCCACAGCACCATGGTCTCCCCCAGGAGAAGCATCCCCCAGTGAGGAGAGGGCTGCTCAGGAGACGCACTGTCTCGCCTGCAGGTTCCTCTTCATTCTGCTGGGTCCCCAAGCCAAAGTGAAAGCCTACCACGAGGTTGGCAGGGCCATGGCCACACTGCTGACAGATGAGGTGAGCCTGGTGCGGCACCCATGGGTGGGATGGGCCTGGGATGAGGCCTAGGCTGAGGGCACCAGGGCTCCTCACCTCTGCAGACTGCAGCAGGGGAGGCAGAGGATGGGGCAAGCTGGTGGCCTCCCTTGCCCAGGATAAGAAAACAAAGGTTTGGGCTGGGTCTGTAGGATGTAGGCACACCCACTGCACTGAAGTGGATGGGTGCCTTTCTTGGTGATGACTGCAGGCTGGGAGGAAGGCTCCAAGTGGCTGAACGCAGGTATGTGCTGGCTAAACCACGGCATCTCCCCGCAGCTCTTTCAAAGGGTTGCCCGGCAGGCTGAGCACCGAGAGGACCTCATCACCGGAATGGAGGCATTCCTGGATGAGCTAACTGTGCTTCCTCCTGGGAAATGGGACCCCAGTGCCCGAATTCCTCCACCGAGCTCTCCACACAGGAGGTAGGCTGGACGGAAGGAACCCGTAGCCTCTGCCAGCCCCTCTGCAGGGTCTCAGGTGGAGACCTCTGCCATAACATTGAAATCTCCATCTCCATGGGCACGAAGCCACTCAGGAGCCAACCTTTGCCAGTGAGATCCTCCCAGCTAAGCCCCTCTGCAGCTCTGGCTGATGACCATGGCTCCGGTCCCCGCTGCAGTCCCACTTGGCAAAACTGCCCCACGTGCCCTTCAGGCAGGAGCTGCTGGGAATGCTGGGTTTCAGCACTCAGATGTGGAACTCATCCTCTGAGCAGGACACCCCTGGCTCTGCCCAGCCCCTCCACCAAAACTGGTCCCACTAGGGCTGGCTCCAGGGCTTGCTGGAGGAGATCATGGTTGGGTTGGAAGGGACTTTTGAAAATCATCTAGTCCAACCCCCTATCTCTCCTCCTCCTCCTCCTCCTCCTGATCTTTCTCCTCTTCCTCGTTATCAGGGGATATATGAGGTCCCCCCAGCCCTGCTTGCACCCCGGTCCCTTTCCATCCTCCCTGTCCCCTCATAGTGTCCCCTAGAGGCAGCTGGGTCCTGAGGGCTGCAACCTGAAGCCTGTCGTCTCAGGCTCTGGTCTGCCACAGGACCACCGTGCACCCACTAGATCGGCAGTCCCATGGCAATGGGGACATGGCAGCAGCTGGGGCCAGAGCCGGCGTGGGGAACCCATGCTCCAGGGAGGAGCTGGAGAGGACAGGCAGGTGGGTGCCTGGAAGGACGAGGGTGGTGGGAGGTGCAGCGGGATGCCGAATTCAGGGCAAGGCACTGGATCTCCCCAGCACGAGGCCACCATGTCCAAACCGCTCTGGGCTGGTGTGTCCCGGGGAAGGGACCGTCCCCTGCCTTGCAGCTCTCTCAGGGGTGATGGCCGACTGGGGGGGGCTGCTCTATGATCTCCCTCCACTGCCCCAGGCTTTTTGGGGGGCTGCTGCGAGACATCCGGAGGAAGGCGCCTTGGTACGGCAGCGACTTCTCTGATGCCCTGCACCCCCAGTGCCTCTCAGCAGTGCTCTACATCTACCTAGTGACGGTCACCAATGCCATCACCTTTGGGGGCATGCTGGGCGACGCAACTGCCAACATGCAGGTCAGCGCAGCTGCAGGGTGCCACACGCCAACCCCATTTGGCCCGGCCCGTGGGTCTCCTGGGTGCCCTCCTTCCACTGGTGCCTGGGGAGCCAGCAGTTGGTTCCCCCAGGGCATCCTGAGCGTTGCTCGAATCCTGCATCCTCCCCCAGCCTCTGTGGTCCCCGAGTGCTGACCCTGCAGCCTGCAGTGCAGGGAGGTACGGGCGGCTGCCTGCAGCTGGGCCGCTGCAGGGGGCAGGCGCCGGGAGCCCGCGCCC